TTTTTGATGGATCCACATCCCAACACCTCTGCATCATTTGCACATAATCATCAGGCATTCCAGGCAGTATTGGTGGTCGTAAACCTTCACATATATCAAAAATCAAACGATGATTGTGATTTCTATCATCAAATGGTGGACATCCTGCAAATATTTCCCACATTAACATCCCAAAACTATAAACATCTGTTTCTTTTGTGTTCCTATTTCTATTAAATAGCTCCGGTGCAAGGTATGGTACAATTCCAAAGATTTTATTTGATAGTTTTTCATCAACTGGACCATTTAACCCTAAATCTGTAATATAACAACAACCTCTGTGAACAAGTATATTACCACTATGTAAATCACAATGGATTAAATCTTTTTCATGTATCCGATATAATGCATAACATAAATCATAAAAGATCGTAATTTTGTCTTTTAATGTTAAATTTAAATGATTTTTTTTGTAAATAACCCTTTAAATTTCCATCTGATAAATAATTTAAAACGATTGCATAATTTCCATTATCTGGGAATTTAGTTATACCATGGCACTTAACAATCAATGCTGATTTAATTTTACAATAATTCATTGCCTATAATTGAATATAAAATCAATTAGTATTATATAATACAGTATTGTTTATTTGTTTTAAATGAAAACTACCAACCTCATCAAAAAATACTTTTCCTGGATCACTTGAATTGTTTAAACTTTTTAATACTACTTTTTGCCTTCTAAAATAACTAAATTCCTTTTTACTTTCGTCATAATCATGAATACTTCCTCTTGTCCATGTAGCAGTATAAATTGAACTAAATCCACCTTCTGTCAACTTTGTCACTTTTTTAAATTGCTCAAAAGGTATCCATTCTAAAACATAGTCTGGCAGGGATGATTTCATTTGACATTGTTGAATAAAATCATCAATTATGTTATTTCCAGATGTCCAAGTGGTGAAAAGACTCTGTAATTGTAAACTAATACAACCTTCACAGAACCTATCAGAGTATCTTGTCAATTTACACTTATTACATTCTTGTGGTTTGCCTAATTTATATATTGCATTTTTTAATTCAAACTCATAAATAAACTTTTCTTTACAATATTCTTTTTCATTTTCAGCAAGCTCCTTGTTTTTTTTGACTAATGAAAATAAATAATCTTTTCTACTCTTTCTATCCACTGCATTAGCATTATTAAGTATTTCACTGTAAGTTTTACGTACAAAATCCTTTCTTTCTAGTGATAACGATGATAATACATATGACATTATTATTATATAAAAATATAATATATAAATTCGACTTGGTGTTTTAATGAATGCAGATTTTTCGGTTACATTATTTCCTAATATTAACATGCATAAAAGAATGATTTCTTTCTAAATGTCGTAATTTTTGTGTAGATTTTTATATTTTGTGTTTTTACCCAAATTTGAATGCACAGGAAACATTCTGTTATAAAGAAGGCTTGTTAAAGACTTGAGAAGATAAATCCGGTGCAAGTGCAATTACGGTAAGGAATCACGAATTTTCTAAGCATTTTGTTGCTCAACTTTAGTAAACTGAATTATCGGGAAGGATGAAATCAAAATCATAAGGTAATAAGTCGTTTTTTTTTGCTGCGCTTGCTTGAAACAAAAGTATTTTCGTTTTCCAAAAATGCTAAATGGTTGTGATTATTTTGTTCAAAACGACAGGGTCGAGCAAAGCAAATACTTGACTGAAAAGAAATCGTGTTTCGCTTTAAATATTTTTTGCGTGGTGTCTACAGCCGTCTACCATTAAGTCTTCGTCTTGCTCTGATGTTTCGGACCGTTTGAAATGACCAAAAACTTATGGCATTGCCTTGGAGCTTTTACCTCAGATCCCAGATCGTCAAATATTTGTCGTATTAGTGTTATATAATTTTTTTCGCGTTTGAAAAAATGAAAAACAAATTATTTTTCAGATTCTTCATATTGGAAGCTTCTAGATTTCCTCAAGTTCCGTCGAAAAGAAGAAAATTGGACAGATGATAAACAGAAAGAGTATAATATGTATATTATGACCTTACGCAAAATATCATCAACCAACAACAACTTTTGGCAAACTCTTCTCTGAATACCTTGAAAGTTAAGTAATTTTCTGTAATATTATCTTTATAGGTACTGACTGCATCAACAACAACTTATCAATCTGAATAATTCGTTGTTGAACCATCATGCTTGACACGAGTTTTTTTAGGTTAAGCTGTTGATGATCCATCGTGTTCTGATGCTGTTATCTACCACATCATAACAACTCATCAATCTGAACAGTTTTGTTGTTGAACCATTGTGCTTGACACAAACTTTCCTGGGTTGAGTTGTTAACAGTCATCCGTAATTTCACGGGATCGACATGTCTACTGCTGTAGCTATGTAATTTTTTCGTGAAACATTTCAATTTTTACTATTAAAAT